AGGAAGGAAGGAAGGAAGGAAGGAAGGAAGGAAGGAAGGAAGGAAGGAAGGAAGGAAGGAAAAGCAAGCCATCCTTCTTGAAAGTCAACCCAACTTATTTTTAGTTTGAATACGCAAATTTTCATTTGGGATTAATATACTGGGAATAGCTTTAGAATGTAAGGTGTAGTAGAGGAAACCCCATCAGTCTACCTGCATGTTAGCTGCTGCTTTTCTTTACTCTGTCCTTGGATTGTCCTTCAGAACTTGTGAATGTGAAATGCATTAAAAAAATAGATGGATACATTACCCAACAAACAAAACTAGCTCTCGACACATATAAAACCTAATTCCCCTTTTTTTGTCTGTACTTTTCTGATATATTTTTCTGCATATGTACATTTTTACTACATTATGCAGCAATATAATATTATAAATTTATTTGAAGAGGCCTCATAATATATTTTGTGCTCATATGTCAGAAAATATGAAGACCATATATGACATATGGCTCATTCTTCATTTAGACTTACCTTTGATTTCTATTTATTATGCCTCTTTACTTCATGAAACATAAGAAAAGTGCTTAAAAATAGTTCTATGACTTGTTTGATGCCCTCGAGTTATTTTTGTATATATCTCTTTTCTCACTCTAAAATAAGCTCTTTAGCCCTAGCTGGTTGCTCAGTGGTTAGAGAGTCGGCCCGAGGACGGAAGGTTCCGGGGTTGGTTCCCGCCAAGGGCGCGCACCGTGGTTGCAGGATCGATCCCGGGCCTGGCCGGGGTGCGTGCAGGAGGCAACCGGTTGATGTGTGTCTCTCCCCTCCACTCTCTCTGAAAAGCAATGGGGAAAATATCCTCGGGTGAAGATAAAAAAAACCCTCTTTAGGCACAGATGCCTGTCATGTCTATTTCATCTTTACGTCCCATGAAAAAGCCCAGAGTAAAACACATAGTAAATTTTCACTGAATTCGGTGCTAGTTGAATGAATGAATGGCTTCCAGCTTGACCTTGGGACTCAGAGTTGTACAGCATTTTACCTTTAACATTTCTTTCCTACAACCTGGGAAACTAAGTTTGGATAATAACAGAACGTTTCATAACCTCCTAATCTACATTTGAATGTATTTTTCTTGATATAATTTATTTAAAAGGTAAAATTCTATGAGTCATTTTTCCTTCTTGATTCCATTGTTGTTTTTCTTAATCTTCACCTGAGGATACTTTTCTCCATTGTTTTTTCAGAGAAAGTAGAAGGGAGAGGGAGAGGGAGGGAAGAGGAAGGGGGAGGGGGAGGGAAGGGGGAGTGGAGGGAGAAACGTCGATGTGACAGAGACACATGGATTGCTTGCCTTCCGCAAATTGTGATAATTGAGTTGATGAATGTAAAGTTCCTGACACTTAAAAATGTTACTATTATGATTAATGTACATATTTTCATACATGTACATGTTCATGTATATTTTTTCTGAGAGCACAAATATTAAAGTGGCACAATCCCTGCCCTCCAGGTGACTTGGAAAACATGCTTAAAAATCACCTAAGTTTGCTGTGAACCTAAAACTAATGTAATAATAAAATCTGTTGTTGTGGGGTTTTTTAAATCAACTAAGAAGCAACTTTACTACCCTCAGTGGAAGAAGAAAGTTGTCCACTAGTAAAGAGCTTTGAGAATGTTTTTAAATGAAAATGAAATTCTAGTTGGTGTAAGTTGGAGCCACATGGAAGCACTGAGAGCCAGAGTCTCTCTCCTTTGCTTCTGGGCCCTTCAAGGTACTTCTCCTCCTTGGTAAACAATTGCTGGTTCAGCATCTACAGAGACTGGTAGACATCATCATCTTTCTGAAATGGGACACTTTCAAACATAACGGCCATCATCTTTTTCCCAAATCCCTAACCCTCAGTATGACCAGAGCCACAGCTCTGAATGTTTTGTTTTAATTATTTTTACAGTGAAATTGGAAAGAGTAAACAAAGCCATTTTCTCTTTTTACTTTTGTGTCAAATGTGTCTAAATGAATTAAGGAGATGTGTATGCTCTTCAAGATTTAGCTTTGGAAATGTTCGTTTGATTAAGTCTAATTATTTAATAATTTAGTCTATATTTTCCTGAACTGACGAACCACTTAAAAGTTCTCCAAGAGAGTCTTATGTTTTCAGATGTTTTTTACTCATGCAACAGTGTACCAAGTACCATGGTAGATGTTCATTTCAGATAAGTTGCTTCAGCTTTTTTAATGGAGAAAAGACTGAACAAAGGAAATCAGCCCTGTTTTATCTTTGGTGCCTTGCACACGGAATTTTGAACCAAACAAGCTAACTTGTATTCATACTAGTCGACACTTACTTTCTATCTTCATTTAGAGCATTATTGGATGGCTGTATCTTCCAATGGTCTATATAATGTACTGATTTTGTCTCTTTTACTTAGTAGTACCTATTTTTATTTTGAGGGCGAGCCCGGGTTGCCTGGAGCAGTGGGACAGGATGGAATGCCAGGGCCAAAGGTTAGTACCAGTAAAACCGAGCAGAGTCATTTGAGACGTGAGTTTTCATGAAATTGTAAGCCATTACAATGTTTTAAATATCCCAGTGATTGTACCTGGATAGAATTTTTTGTCAATAGTATAATATGCTACAGTACAGAACTTTGTGACTAACAAATACATTATTTGTGATTCTTGTTAACATTACAAATGCGGGATATGATTATCTAAAACCTATATTCTAATACTTAAATAACACGAGAAAGCCCGTGTTTCAAATATGACTGTTGTCATTTGCCACTTAATATGAGCATATTAAACGTAGGCCATGTGCATACTGCCTAAAATTTGCATAGTAAAGATGAAAATTCTTGGTAAAGATGATATTAGCAGTGCCGCCCTGGCTTTCCCTCAAGATCTGGCGACCTCTAGCACTTGCACAGCACAACCAGCTAATCAAATGAAGAGCAACATAAAGACGTGGCATGTTTAAAATTTATAAATGGATGTAGTCAGTTACTAAATAGGGAAAAAATGTAATGAAGATTATTTTTTTTGGATTGCAAGTTTTCTTTGTTTCCTGAAGAACAAATGAATCTGTTAAATATAAAAAGATTGGTGACAGTTTAGTTTAAACCAAACAGGCAGACAAATCCCAAATCCTTTGATGAGTGAACATCCCTTGAAGTACAGAACTAACGTCTAATCCTGTCAGCTGTGCTGTGTCTGTCCATACCCACAGATGCCTGTCAGCTGATTTGACAGATCACGTTGCTATCGACAGGCGCCCGGGACGGTATGGACCTAAAATTTATAGACCTGTCCTTTGTCCTGTAAGAGAGGAAACAAAATATTCCTTCTGACTTTACAGCCATTCTCCTGTCTTTTCCCTCTCTTGTTCTGTGCTAAAGAGGGAAATGATGGGAGTTAGTGCTCAATGCACGCACTCAGTGCTGTTCTTCTGTTGCCTAGCGACCCTCAGGATGGATGTTGAGTGTTGAAAGGTAGCCAGAAACTCAGAAAGCCAAGGGGTTGGGCCTACCTCCAGTGAATGAAAAGAGTCTTGCCTCCAAACTGACTTCTAGAGTGGGTTCTAATTTTTAAAAACACAATAATTACCTTAAACCATTTTTTTTAAGCGTTGATCTCATGGCAACACTTACTGACGCTTTTTAGAAAGGGAATATTCTCATAAAGTGTATAATTTACTTTAGAACACTCCCACTCCATCCCTTGTCCCTTCCTGGGTAAAGTGAACATGAGATTCTCTTCAGAGCATAGTTTTTTTTTCATTTTAGTCCTTGGACTGACTGGGTCATCATTTCTAATAAAGACCTTCTCCTAAACTCACTTTAATTCTGCCAGTCTAGTGTTTTTCTTGAAGGTACCAATACCTCTCAAAATACATGCTAGCTACCAGTGAGTTAAAGGGAGCTCATGGCATTCTGAAGGGGTCCGAGTTCAGGACCGTGTGTATGGTCATGATAGGTGAAGACAGACTGGGAAACTCCACAGGACTCTGAATCCCTGAAATAGTCCACGTACCGGGGGCTGCTTTGAATAAAGACTTCATGGAAGGATGCGCCCGCCCACATTACTGATTCCGAGTTTGGGCTGCTTACAAAGTTCTAGGCTAAGAAAACGCCCAAGACGCCAAATTATCACCACACTGTTCTCCTTGGAGCCCCAAAAGCCAGTTTAAGAACGTTAATCTTAAGTATCTTTCTTTAGCCCTCTAAAAACAAAGATTTAAGATTATATTTGATATTGATATCTATACCCAGTCCTCCAGGAAGCTCATTTTACCATTTGTTTTTATGTCGCAACTCTATGTTGCCAAAAAAGGGTCACATAGGATTTATCTACCATGTTCAGTATCTGATTTGGTTTGGTATTGCTTAATTGGGTGTTTTACAATTTAATAAGTCACTCAATCTTTGTCCTTTTGCCCAGGGAGAGCCTGGAGAACAAGGAGAAAAGGTGAGAATTATTTTACCTACATTTATCTTCCCCCTAAAGAGGTACCAAACTGAACTGTATATAAGTACAGACAGATAGGTAGATTTAGATATAGATGCATAGATATAATGACCACTGTGCCCCCCCCCCCCC